ATTTGTTTGTTTATTTTTAGGATAAAAACAGATTGAAGATGTCATCACAGGGCTCTGACATTTTGTGCTTTCAGTTACCACCACATCACCACTAATATTTGGGTAAAGTTGGCAGTCAGTAGGATAATCAGTGGTGGAGTAAACAACCCGGTTTGATTCTGGCAGGACATAGCCATGTATGGCTATGTACATATAGCCATACATTGAAGTACTTTCGTACTTAATGAATACATTTTAAAAATCTTTTAATTAAATAAAAGATGGTTGTGCTTTGAAATTAATGGTGTGCTCATTAAATTTAATTTTTAATTTTATAATAATAGTCTAGCTATATATTATATGGCAATGAATTTAACTCCACAGAAGCTGAAACAGACAGAAATGAAATACAAATAATGAAGGTAGGAATACTTTCCACATCTATAATTTATTAATATCTATACTGTACTATCATATACATAATTCATTCAAAAACGGTATGTTTTTTGGATTTAAATATAATGGAATAATTTACAGTAATTAAAAATGATACACAGTCTATTCAGTCTATGATATTTAATTGTAACAGCATTGAGATTGAAAAGCTAAAAACTAATGGTATGCTGCTTTAAATGACACATGCTAATCATTTTCTTCTGGCAGATGTCACTCATTGTTGGCATACTGGCATATGCCACTGCTGGTTATGGTATGTCACTGCTGTACCACATAAAAACAACATATCACTCATGTTCCACAGATACCCCCTTGGATGTTTGACCCTTTTATTGATGTTATAAATCAGTGATGGTCAATATAATTTGGATTTTTTTAAACAAAATAATTACTTTGATGTCAAAGTGAAAACAGGTTTCTATAAAGTAATGTCAATTAAATAAAAACCACCAGCAATGATGTACGCCCCTTCATGATGAGCCTGCTGCTGTTTGTTTACTGCTTCATGTAGCAGGGCGAGAGCTGCGCTGACTTTGGTGTCTGGTGGAATATACACAGCAGTAATAAGTACTATTGTGAACTCTTGTGGCAGATAGAAGGGTCTACACCTAATAGTCATTGCTTCCAAGGGGGGAGAGCAATGGCTGTATATAATGTTACAGTTTGTCCACCAGGCATTATGAACATAAATACACAGACCTCTTTCTTTGCTCTTACCAAAGTCACCACTCCTGTCATGCCGGAAAATCGTGCCCTGCTGCCACATTGCAGCGGCCGGTATCATTGGATGTAGCCATGTCTGTATTATGACCATCACACAACATTTGAGGATGGTTGAGTTTCCAGCGATTTGCAGCTCCAGCTCATCTTTTTGTTAACAATGGATCTGGAATTAGTGAGGAAGATACTCAGTACTAGTGACTTGTGTGGATGTTTGCTCAGTCAAGGAAGTAGGCCTGCTCGACAGCCATGCGTCCTCCTGTGCTTACAATGTCATCTGCGCCACCTGTCAGGCTGGGTACAATCTAGGTAGATCCAGGTGGCCTTGCTATGTCCTGCAGGATGTTGTGAGCTTGGAGGAAAGTACTCGTAATGTCAATTTGGCCCTGTAGACCAATGTCAAGCAAAACAGCCTGATTGTAGACATTTTCGCAAAAACACATCCTCACACATAATACACACACAATCAAACCACATTGTATCAGCAAGCTGAGAGCTGCTGCATCTATGTGCACTGCCATCTTGAGTGTTAATATATGATAATGTCCAGTTTGTGTTCAAACTGAACTGAAACTGTACCTGTGTCGCCGCTGTGGAGGCTGAAGTTTGTGCTGCTGTTCCACTGTACTGTGCTACACAGAGACGGTTCTGATATATTGTCCAGCCCACATGTATCACTGAGACCAGGCCCAAGTCCAAGTACCACAGATACTCCAGTGGAGGTTCAAGTGCTGCATTCAAAATGTTACTTCACCAACTGCTGTCCAAAACAACACACCACAACAGCACAACAAACAACTACACACAACAAGCCATTTGAACAGACTCATAAAGATGTGTGTAAAACAGTGTTTGTCAGGAAAAACACATGAAGCATTTGTGCAAATTCAGTGAGAGTCAGGAAACAGCTCCAACAGTTGATCTCAGAGAAACGCGCCATCAATTACTGAACTTAAAGCTCCACTAGCACAAATACTGAATCATGTTACAGCCACATATGAGTCAATGTACAAAGACACATAGTCAAAGCAGGACAGAGGATCCATGATGACTGGTGACAGACACTGGTGAGACAGTTCCTGGTCCAGATTCAGACTGATCAGGAGTTTCTCCAGCAGCTGATGTAGAACCGGTCCAGACTGTGTGCCCATAAAGTGTGTCCAGACAGAGTCTGACCTCTGTTTTGTTGGGACACTATGAGTTGCCGCTGGGAAACATCAGTACTGATCTGTTGGTGAGATGTTGTGTTATTGCTGTGAATGTGAAAAGTAACCAGTGGGTCCAGCTGTCAGATAAATGCAGTGGAGTAAAGTAGCAGTAGCTCAGGCTGCACTTCCTGTGAGTTAGGGACCAGAGGAACTTGACTCTGTGACTTTCCACCAATGAATCCAGCAGCACAGTCAAGTCCATGGAGTCACAGCCACGTGTTCAGCCATCCACACGCTCAGTAAGAGACCGACTATCAGATCAACTAGTCTGAAGGTTTACTGTCATCTGATTGGTTCAGCTGTTCTGCTGATGTTGTGTTTCTTCTTCTCACTGATGAGTTGGTTGATCAGGGTCTTTGTCCTTCTTCAGCCGAGCGCAGGTCTCTGGTACAAGTCTCTGTCCATGGTTTCTTGTCACAGCTGGTTGATTTATGTTCCAGTGGCTTCAGGACGTGTTCACATCCCTTCACTGTATGCACTTCACTGTCCTGTGGATTCACTGTCAGCTGATACAAATAAACTTGAGGACATTTCCACTGCTGCCAATCAGTCTACACTCAATAACCTAGAGGGACAAAGTGAAAACATGGTGACGCTAGTGCAAATGAGAAAAACCAAAGCTGAGCTCTCTCATGTACAGAAGTACCCAGAACGTTAACCATGACTCTGTAGAGCCCCCTTTGTCAACAAGTGCAGCTCCAGGCTTCTCGGCTGAGTCTCTACCAGCTGTACACACCTGGATTTGGGCAGTTGATCTCGTTCTTCCTGCAGATCCTCTCGGGATCGGTCATACTGAATGGGAAGTGTCTGTGAACTCTTCAGGGCTCTGCACAGATGTTCGCTGGGCTCTGGCTGGGCACCTCAGGGACAGTCAGAGCTTGGTCCTGAGGCCCCTCCAGTGTCTGGGGCCATTCGCTTCAGGTCACTGTGGTGCTGAAAGCTGAACCGTCGGCCAGGTCTCAGGTTTACTTCCATGACCTCTCTGTGTCCAGATGCATTCATCCTTCCCTCAGTTCTGACCGGTCTTCCTGTCCCTGCTGCTGAGAATCTTGTCTGCAGCCACATCCACTCACTGTCTCAGTGTTTTTAAGCTGAAGCTGCTCTGACAGGATCCATGGGGTCAGAAATTTATGAGGGACAAACAGAGGTGGTCCCTGGAGGAAGAGTCTCACTGTGGACAAACACTCTCTCTGCTCCAACCTCCACTCTTCCCCGGCACCACTGTGGATTTACCTTCACACTGTGACCACTGAGAGTCTCTGGGACTGACCCACACACACGCCTCCATAATATAAAGCTGTGAGAGGCCGGTTCACACAGGGCGACTGGATACTGGCCTGACTGACAAAAAGCAATGTCTGTTGAGACCCTCAGTCAGCCAGGCCATGGTGGATCCAAAGGGCTGGAGTTAGACCCTGTACTCCCTGAAGCTTCTTCAGTTCTGACCGCCTGGTGGGGAGTCCCAGAGTCGCACAG